ATCATACAGAGACAATCCCCTTGATGGGAAAAAAAAAAAAATATATATATATATATATAATATTTTTTTAGCAGAATATTTTTATATATTTGTATTTAATATTATATTTAGAAATACAAATATTATATTCAGACAATATTTCATTATTTATTTATCGCTTTTTCACAATATAAATCAATGAACTTGATAGATAAAAATATTTTTCTAGTAGAATATTATTATATGTTTTTATTTTATAGTATATTTAGAAATATAAATATTTATTTTTTTATTCACTTACTACTACCTTCCACTTTTCCACAATATAAATCAATTATCTTGATGGATAAATAAATATCTATCTATCTATCTATCTATCTATCTATCTATCTATCTATCTATCTATCATATTATGATGAACATTATTCCAGTCATTTATGGTCCATTCCTGATAATTAAATTATTAAACAAGCATAAATACATTATGGGTTGTAATTTAAATCAAACTAAAATTAATCTTTAACAGTTACTGCCACTGTAACAATTTAAAACTCAATTTTTTTTGGTGAAATCCTATAAGACACAAATTTAGGCGACCATGACTATATGTATTATTATTTTGTAAGTTGTCTTTTTTTTAAAAAAGTTTTTACTTCAAGTAAATTCACAATTTTTGCAAGTGAGGAATATTCGCAAACTCAGCAATATATCTACACACAAACAATGGCAAGCACTCACACTTATTTTTGTCAGACAAACCTTTTCCTTTTGAACACTAGAGGGCACAAGTGATCAAGCAAATGAATGAACAAGGCTTTAGACAGGAACTGAAGTGCTTGGTATTGCTGCTGACCCTGTGTTTGGTTGTTCAGGACACAGGATGAGGGCAGACGGTCAGCACTGTGACACAGACACTGATGACGAGAGGACAGACCGACTATTGTGTCACGAAACACAGCCAGTGACCTACATCAGTTCACTTTATATATTTGGCCAATCAGCAGTGAGAAAAGACCTTCATTCGCCTAATTCAAATCACATGCTAATCGTTCTGAATAATGTATATCATTGTCTGATAAAATAAATTATGCATGCGTGACAGACTGATGCAAAAGAGTCTGCGAGGTCTCAAAAATAATTACTGGATGGAAGTTATGTAAAATGTGTCCTTTTTACGTTGTGAAAGTAAGAAGTTTGATCAGGAAGTTTGGGCTCTTGATAAAGCTTTAATGTCAAATGTGAAAAAAAAGAAGAAAAAAAAAACCTTTCAAAAGATTCCAAGTTATGGACTGAAGTTTAATACTTATTCTGATGGTTTTGTTTTAAATAAATATACAAATAAATTGTGTGTATGTATATATATATATATATATATATATATATATATATATATATATATATATATATATATAAGACATTGAATATTTAATATTTAATTATAAATTGTATTATATATTATTCTACAATTTCTCAGTAATTCTACAATTCTATAATCATTCTCTGCAGCTAACCTGCAATTGCTTTGTTATAGTACAAATATATTACAATAATATTTCTTTTTAATTATGTTAACATTGAATTCAATTAACATTGACTTTGAATTAACATTATATATTGATTATCATAACATTGTTAAAAAAATGTCAAATCTTGACAAGAAAGGTTTATATATATATATAGTAAAAAACATTGTAGGAAAAATAATAATAATAATAATATTTTTTTTTTCTACAATGTTTTTAAAAAATATTTAATTATAAATTATATTATATATTATTATATAGTTTCTATTGTTTTGCCATTGCTTTGAGTACTAGTATTAGCAAAAGTACTACAAATAGTAGTATAATTAGGTAAATTATATATATATGATTAATACTGACTTTCATTAACAAGTCATTGAACATTATGTTAATTAATAAATCAGTATTGTACATTTACACATGAACATCTGTGAAAATAAGATATCTGAAAGGGTCACGTCATTTTCAATGTTGAACTTTATAATATTTTTTTTTAATTACTAATATAGTAATGTAATAATGCCTATTAATTAAAGTTCAAAACACAAATAAAAGGAATAAAATAGTGACATTAAAGTTCTGAGCTAATCATTATAATATAGAGACGACAACATAAGGTCAAAACATCATCTTCGCATGAAGATCTTGCAGACCAAAACGTGTCACACTTCACATTTAAATGATCAGACTTCACACCAGACGTGTCGTTCTCCACAGCTCAAGTTATTCTGGTCTACGTTAAGGGTACAACAGTCACGCTGAAACACAACCCACCTGCAGTGCACCACGATGGGCCCGGCGTATGACGGGTTCACCTGCTTCACCTTCTTCAGGAACTTGAGCATGCCGATGGGCGAGAAGGGAACGCCGAAGTCAGGCCAGCTGGTGAAGTGAAGCTGCGTGACCAGACGGGGCGTTTTAGTGCCGTCGCTGGCCTGCTGCGGTGGACACAGAGATGGGTGAGAGTGTGTTGACAGGAAAAAAACACACATATACACGCACTTGAAAATAGCAGAGAAAATCCCCTACATAATCATATGCATATAACAGCAGGAGACATCCTATCTGCAGCTTGCATGAGTGTCTTCAGACTTACATATTGCACACAGAATTTGCGTATGGTGTAGTCCACCAGTGCTGTAAAGTCTTCCACAGCAACACGCACGTTACCGTACGTCCAGCATCCCTGATCAGGCCAATACTGATGACACTTATCCTACAGAGACAAACACAGCACATTTATATTACAAGTTACCATTCGTTTATTTTGTATCTTACATCTTACTTATTTATTTATTATTATATTTTTTTTATTATTGCAGCTAACCTGCAACTGCAAAAATGTAGCTGCTAATAGTTTTCTTTGTTTTAGTTTATTTCTTACTTTCTTTTTAAATTGTATTCATATTAAATTAATATTTTCTTGCTTGCATTGAATAAATGTAATTATAAATAATTACATAAAAAGCTACCATTATTTTAGTTTATTTCTTAATTTCGTTTTATCTATTTTGTATGTTTTTCTCACTTAAAATTAAAATAAAATTAAATAAAAGCTTTGCTTTGGTAGTAGAAAATATAGCTGCTAGTGTAGTTACCATTATTTGAGTGTATTTCTTACTTTCTTTTGTAATTGTATTAATATTTAAAAAAAAAAAAAATGTTGTCCTTGTATTAAATAAGCATACTTAAAAATATAGTTACCATTATTTGACTTTATTTCTTACTTTCTTTTTTAAAATGTTATTACTGTTAAAATAAATGTTTTTTTTGTAATTGGTATAAATGAATGAATGTATGCTGCTATTATTTTAGTGTATTTCTTAATATTTTTTTAATCTTTTAATATTACCAAGTTAAAAAATTACTTAATAAAAAATACAAATAGTAATGCTTTGATGGTAAAAATATTGCTGCTAATATTGCTTTTCAAATACAAAAACGATTACTATTGATTGATATTGACTTATATTAATAAGTGAACATTACATATTGTTTAATGCGTAGCATTCAAACATGAAAATATCTGAAAAGACAATAAATAATACACTATTTGAATGTACATCAATATAGTGTAATCAATATAATATATAAATGCAACAATGTATGTTAATGCTATTAATAAAAGTTACATAGTGCTGAGAAAACAGAAAGACATGAACATCATCTGCTAATCATTATAAAACAGAAAACGCGATACAAGGTCAAAACATGATGTTCTGTAGATAAACATAAATGCATTGCATGTCAATCCTGTAGAGTAAATCAGTCCAACACTGGCACTGAACAGCTGTAAGTGCATTAGAGGAGGAAAGGTGACTTCTAAGACACCGTGATGCTAATCTGAGCTCTTAAAAACAGTCTGTCTGTCAATCAGCATTATCCAGTCCGAGAGCGCAGGATAAATCTCTCTTAATGAGAGTTTGTGACTAATTAGGTTAAGGCCAGAGAGAGCTTTATCAGCCATTATGAAAATCATCGATTCCAAGCCCGACCCAAAGCTGATTTTAATCTCCTCTCCGTTCTGTGTCTTATTGATTCGTCTTTCTAGAGACGCTCACAGCCGTGATGGAGAGCAGAGACAGAGGAGTCCTGTGACATCTGAACATCAGAGACGATCGAAACGGAGACACTTGTGGCTTATTACTGAAGATGATCAACAAATCAGGTTTATAGAAAGGCACTGAAGTGAAATCAGATATAATTTAGTGGGTCTGTAGTCATTTTATTTGCATTCTGATGCTTTTTTAAGCTATATGGAGTAAGAACGAAAGGCTGTGCAATGTTGTGCACTTTGGTTCGAAGGAAACACTTTGGGTAAAAGCATCAAGCAAATGCATATATGTAATATAATGTTAATATATTGCTACGATAAGCAGTAAGAGGCTTTGTTTAAATTTCAAAATTAAATTTATTTTTTATACAAGTGAGAATTTTAAAATTAATTACATTTTAAATTTTAAATAAAATTATATTATAATTTATATAATATATTTATATATATATATATTTTTTTTTTAAATGTATTACATTTTATTAATAAATTAATACAATTTTAAATTTAATGTAGCTTTCAGAAATCAGATTTATTTAACCCTCCTGTTGTGTTGTGGGTCAATTTGACTCAAACTCGATTTTCAAACTACTCGAAATACTGGTTTATTTTAAAAACTATTTCTTCTTAAAATTTGGTGAATATTTATAATTTAGGGCCATGAATGTGCACGCAAAATGTCCACACATAGATGTGTCTTACTGACGCTCATTGGTTTCCATGCAATTTCCCAGGTAAAAAAAACTAAAATTGTTATTGGAGGTTGTCAAACACTAAAATATGAAATACTTGAGAACTTTTCAAGATGAAAATAAGACTCATCTTCTAAATCATCCAAGGAAAAGTCCCTCTTTCTTTATCTAGATGAGTTTTGGGGGGGGTAATTGCTAATTGGGAGAAGTCGTGGCCTAATGGTTAGAGAGTTGGACTTGTAACCCAAAGGTTGTGGGTTTGAGTCTCGTACCGGCAGGGATTGTAGGTGGGGGGTGTGAATGTACAGCGCTCTCTCCCACCTTCAATACCATGACTGAGGTGCCCTTGAGCAAGGCACTGAACCCCCAACTGCTCCCTGGGTGCCGCGGTGTGCGTGTGCGTGTGTACTTTGGATGGGTTAAATGCAGAGCACTAATTCCAAGTACGGGTCACCATACTTGGCCACATGTCACTTTTTTTTTAACATTTAATGTTTTGGATCTCAATTACTAGACTAGCCTGATTCAGCACTGGAAAAAAAAGTGTGAGAAACCTATTTTACCCTCGCAAGGGTTTGAGAACCCAAAGGAAGTACAAATAGCAAGAAACACTACTACTACTAAACAAATAATGAAAGATACTATTTATACTTGTAGTTATTTGAAACTCAGTGTGCAAAAAACAATTGTGCAGCTAATTTTGAACATAAAAATATGTCAAATTGAACCATAACACAACAGAAATAATAAAATTAAAAAGGAATTATTACATTAATGTATTAAGCTACAATAGAGGTTTTCTGTTTTTATATGAATCTTTAAATTGCATGAAAACCAATATGGGTCAATTTGACCCTCAACACAGAAGTTTGAACACAACAGAAAGGTTTAAGATCATCTCCTATACACCAATATTTAGCAGATCCCATGACCAACACAAGGAAACACACCAGAAATCCAAAAAAGGACACATACCTCTTTTCTCTCTTTCAGATTCGTTAGCATTACAATAGTAGCTGATTTCTGTTCCCATATCATTCTCCAGAAGTCTGCAACCGTGTCCTGTTTCGGACCTGAAACACAGAGGTCATTCTATCAAGTTTAATTATGTCTGCTCATATAGCTACTGAAACTGTTGTCATTCATGTGACTGCTCACTAAATCTTATTTTTACATTCAGATGCACTCACCTTGTGCTGCAATGAACTTATTCTTATCTGTATAACCCTGGGAAGAAAGAAGCACTAGCTTATTATGAAACCAACATTTAAATGCAAACGGGTGCATAAATGATGCAAAGCATTACAACAAAACATATGGGTTTGTTTCTCAATGTTTTACATTAACATGCTCCAGAACTGTATTTTGAATAAGTACATATGAATAAGTAAATGCATGTTTGAACATTGATGCATTGGATTTTCACAGTGCATTTCTACAGCATTACAAATCACTTACATCGATATAAGAAGCATTGATATAATCTGAACATGGGACTCCATCGATCGGTGTTAAAATCACTCTGGAATGGTCATCTGAATAACAGGAAAGATGAAAAAATTATGTTTATTTCTAAAAAATAGACATATTTGATTGCTCTTTCTCACACCCTCATAGAAAGTGTCTACAAAAGATATATATATATATATATATATATATATAATTTTTTTTTTTGGTATACACATACAGGTGAGGTGTGTAAGTACAATTGGTCTATTTTATCAATCAATTTGATTTATTATTCCATCATTTAAATCATGTCAAACCTACGCTCATGGTTTGGTCACCCAGGAAAACAATCAAACATGCTAAGTAACACCATAATGTTATTTTTTAGGAAAGCTATCAGCATACCCTTGTAAAAGAACTATGGGCATATTTAAAGCAGCATTTGCATA